AGCGGCCTTCAAATCCTTCATTCCACGAAGGTCCAGGTCTGAGCCCGAACAACCCAGGGGTCCTGGCCCGTCTCGTTCTGAGGATCAGTGATGGGCACAGAAGGCTAGTGTCGCGTCTTGTGCTCCTCCCCCACCTGCAGGTAGGGGTAGGAAGTATCGTGGGTCACAGGGAGGTAGGCAAGACCTAAGGGATGTGATCCAGACAAGGCATCGGTCGCTTCTTGAACGGGGCTCCCACGCGGGAACCATGGTGGGTGAGTACGATCCATTTTTATAAAAACATATATTTAAACATGCTGGTGGTTGTGTGTATTCCATCTGCGAGCTTTCTTTGCAGTGTTTTCCGGGACCTGTGTGTTTCTATCCTTTTCCTAAGGTAGGTCCTCGATGAGCACCCCTGCTGGGTACAGAAACCGGGTGCTCGACTTGCAGTGTTTATTTCACTCGTCGATATATATCCAGACGGTAAGAAAAGCCGGGTTTCAGCTTCATACTTCCTGGATCATGTGGCCATAACCCCTACTCGGGGAACCATGGTTACATAAGTAACCTGAGACGTTTTCGTATTTTTAGAAATCCCAGAGGAAGCATGGGAAATCTATGGAAGCCCGTTTCCGCCACTGAATAAAAAATAAAAAAAGGAAACTGCGACTTTTTATCTCACAATTCTGACATTCCTTTTACAGAATTGTGAGATATAAACTCGCAATTGCGAGATAAAGAGTCCAATTTTGAGGGGGAAAAAGACTATGTTCTCAGAATTGCGAGTTTATATCTTACAGTTCTGACTCGCAATTGCGTCTTATAAAGTCAGAATTCCGAGATATAAACTCGCAATTCTGAGAAAAAAGTCAGAATTGTGAGGGGAAAAAATCACAATTTTCTTCTTAATTTTTTTGTTCAGTGGTGGAAACGGGCTTCCATATCTGCTAAACACTTATTACAGTGTGGAAAAATGAAGTCTTGGGGTTAAGCTGCACCAGGGAAATAAAATGTATTCAATGTGGAGACCCAAATAACAACAAAAAATACAGAAGTTGTGCTTCTCATCAACACTTAGCCTATGTGTGTAAGTTATGAAGAATAATTTAAAAAACAGATTAGCTTTCATGTGTCATGAGCTTGATGGTTGCAGTTCAGTAAGTGATGGGTAGTTATCGTTTAACAAAAGATTCTCTGATAGATTCAGTGAGTTCTTTCAATGAAAGATTCATCAGACTGATCCAAATCGTTAACTCCTAAATATGTGATTATTTTTGTGCAATTCATTAAAACTACAGACTCTTAATAATTGTTTGCCGGTCACACTGTATAGAGCGGTGTGGGAATCACTGCTTGGATCTGCAACATATTTGTGGTGTTTCACGTCAGAAATATGTAGGAAATAGGCCTATAAGTTCTCTAATGAACTTAATGTGCTTCTTGAAATTGCTGCTTATTGCAGATGTGCTGTATATCAGTAAAAAGTGCACTCTTGCTTAACAGGGAACTGTTTGAATGGAACTGTGTTTTTCTGTTTGAATAAATGCTGAATAAATGTTTGTGCAGAAACAGTTAATAAATTGACTGCCTGTCTACTATTCTTCAATATGTCTGTCGATAATATTCAGTTAGGAGTTTGTAGTTGACTTGGGAAATTATTACATTGTTTTATACAATGAATTACAGCATTTGTCTGACATTACTCTTCTTTCTAGTGGTAATGATCTGGAATGGATACACTTTACTGCAGGATCCAACTCATTTTTACAGCAATGTTTATTCTATGTGTTGGTGAAATCAGTCACACCGGTGATGCTCATGGTGTGCCATGAAGGTCTGTGACTATTTCTGGTGTCAGCAGGACAGGGGGTGTGTGGACATGTGCTCTATGCATAATAAAAATACTTCGGCCTGTTTTATCTATGTGATGAGGACAAGCAGAAAAAGCTGCGTTCAAAACATAAACACATATAAATCACGTGTAAACTCACAGATTTTTTACAAACAAGATACTTGAGCAATCATTTGCATTCTGTCCTAATTCATGGTCTCCCATTTCATTTTGCAACATATTGTAGACATGCTGTTCAAGAATGTACTGAACAAAGGACAAGTCTTGACATAAATTTGTAATAGTCCTTTCCCCCTCTTTCCTCCCCTGAATTCTTCTCATTTTGGCTGTTCACACTCAAGCAATAGATGAAAAAACCTTGGTGTCCTGAATGAATGCAAGTTCATGGTGTGAAAAGGTGTCTGTTCATAAATTCTTACATGAACTTTTGTGGTCTTCAGTACACATTCAAGCATGAATAAGTCTCAGATGCAGGCAGTTTTTTTTTTATGAATGTGTTGTGTATAAATTTGGGCAAGTAGGGTCTCAAAGTGTAGATCACTTTTCTCCAAGGCATGTAGAAAAGTGTCAAATTTTCACTTCCATTTTATATTTTATGTTTGCATTTAAATGGAATTAAGTGTTCAAATGTTTTGTGTTGCGTTAACTTTACCAAATCAAACAAAGTAATTTTACCAAATCACCTAATTTCCCTCCGGGGATTAATACAGTATTTCTGATTCTGATTTCTGAAAGAAAGATGTCCCTGCCCCTGTCTCTTCTGATATCATTTTGTATTTATGAATTAAGACACCCCATTCTGATTGTACAAGCCTGAATTGTTGTATTAACATCATGCAGAATCATGTAGAATTTATCCGTTCTTGTGGTATCTTTCATTCTCCAGTGCAATGGCTCCATCGCTCTCGCAAGCCTACAGGAGGCGCTGGTGGATGGCTGTCACTTCAATCATAGAAAACCTGCTCTTCTCTGCTGTATTGTTGGGTTGGGGCTCCCTTCTTATCATGCTGAAGAATGAGGGCTTCTACTCGCACCTGTGTACAGGTACATGATTAGAAGTTATCCACACTGACAGACAAAGTCTTATTCAGAGCAGTATCTTAAAGTATCTAATTCTTCCTGTGATACTATTAGAGAATGTCACAGAGACTCACAGTAATGTGAGTTTGACGGCACAGGCGGTTTGGCTGAGCTGTATTGAGCAGGAGGAGATTCTGAATCTGGGCTTTACGATTGGCTCGTTCATCATCAGCGCAGCCACTCTGCCGCTGGGTGTCCTGATGGACAAGTTTGGACCACGTCCAGTCAGATTGTTTGGCAGGTGAGAGACATAAAGCTATTAGTATTAAGCCAGGAAAGCAAAGCTCCTCAAAACTAATGTTGAATGTTGGCTTGACAAAGTTTTCAGTAAAGACTTCAACATTAGAAGGTCAGCATTAAAGCCTACTTTCAATACTACTCATGCCCTGCAACCCACATCTTGGTCACTTCCACCAACTCTCTGTTTTTATGACTCTTGTAGTTCTTGTTTTGCATTATCCATGGCTTTGATTGCAGTAGCATCTTATGATCCAAAAGGTCAGTATTAAGCCACATTTAATGGTTTCAGGTGTTCCACAGCCAGAACCAAAATACTATATACAGCATGTACTGTAGAAGTATAAATGAAATTCTATATACACGTATACACACATACCCATAGCTAACTAATTCCACATGCCAGTAATTAGTTAATCTGTATATTTAATGTTTTATAATCAATGAAGGCATTGTTTCTTCTTTTCGTTCACAGTGTTATCAGCTATCATATTTATTGCTGTGTCCATGAATGGGTTCGGAGGAATCTGTCTAACCTTCACTTCACTAACAGTAAGACACAGTTGCAAAGTTGCCATTTGACCTGTTCTATATTCTGAGATCCTATTGAAGTTTTAATGTATTTGGGTTCAGGTTAATTATTTTGTCAGTGGGTGGTGGTCATGTTGACATTTAACTCTCTATTGGGGTTTAAATGTGTGTGTGTGT